TTTTCCTTTCAATCCCCCCACAACTTTCCTCCTGTGCTGTTGATCAAGAGCCTCTCATTTTTATTTCAATACTTTCACTCTGTGTAAAGGGGCCTGACAGCAGTAATGGGGGGCTTGGTTTGCCCTGCAGATCAGAGCAAGCTGCTGTCCTCTGGCCGCTGTTCCCCAAGAGACTGGTGCAGTTTATCCTGTTGTTCGGACTTCAGCATCACGCTGGCAGCCTGGGCATTTTGATTTGATAGTTGTCTGCAGTTTTCTAGGCCATCCAGTTTATTTAATTCATCATTCAATTTCCTTGAATGTGTTGTTTTCTCCAGTTTGTAATAACCTCCTACACTCTGTTTTTAAGCAAAGCTTTCAGACCTGAGCTGCAGTTATCCAAGATGGTTATGGGCTATAGAAGAATATTTTCCTCCCTGCAACCCGTTTAATTTTCTCAGCAATATTTGCTTTATTACATGCACTGGAACTTAATAACCCCCTGTACCAAAACAGATCCTTTCCTTCAGAAGATCTCAAAGCATTTACAAATAATGTGAAAAGCCTTTTGAGAGCAAAATGTTATTGAAGCCCAAGGTATGTCACATATCACTTGAGGGTGTTGTGCTAGGAAGCATCCCCATCGGCCAGCGGGGAAGACCCGGGTGAACGCACAAGGTGCAAGTGTGCGCGCTCGGCACGTACAGAGCACCAAGCCGCAGCTGTCCACGCTGCGCCTCCGAGGACCTCAGCTGGGAAAGCGCCAGGTTGAATTTAGCGCAGGGAACCTCAGCTGACTCCTCAGCACCCGATATTTACCCATGTGAGGAAAGTGCTCCTTCAAACGCCGCCGCAAGAACACAGACACTGCCGCGGAGGAGGAGGAGGAGGAGGAAAGCCACCAAGGTAAACACAGCTGTTTGCCCCACGCATGGAGGAGCCACGCCAGCCCCGGGTCGCCCTGGCAGGAGCCAGCGGGTCCCTCCACGCCGGCTGCCCTCCAGGGCCCCGCGCTCACCCCCGGCCTCAGCGGTCTCCGGCCCAAGGAACAAACACACGGGCGCCCTCAGATGCTGCCACAGCAGAGCAAGCACCGGCAGGGCGTCAAGCTGGGAAGAAATAAAGATGAGGAACAAAATAATATTTAGCCGGCCTCCAGCCAGCCCCGCCACTTGCTGGGAAGCCTCGAAGCCTGCTGGCCTGGGGCAGCAGCAGCCCGGAGGGGGCCTGGGGACTCTGACCCCTACCCCGGGGTGGACATGGGGCTGTGTGTAACCAAGCGGGTCACAGCTCAGGGAGACGCAAGCGCCTCGTCGGCCTCCTGGGGCTGCTCATACAACGCGGCCACCACAGCAAGGGCTGCTCCTGCACAAGCCATGCGTCGAAAGGTGCATCACACCAGTGTGAAGAGGCTATTGTATTTCTTCTCTTCAGCACAAGCCCAAAGCGCCAGCCAGCACTTTCTGCACTGAGCTCATTAGTTCTCTCCCAGAACCTGTCCATTAAAAAAGTGTCTCATCTTGGTATAAAAGCTTCAAGTGATCGAGAGTCTGCCAGTGCCTGAGAAAAGTTGTTCTAATGACACATTTCCCACCCTTAAGTCTTATCTCTGATCTGAATTCCCCTCATTTCAGCTTCCCGCTACTGGATCACACTGCACATCTCCCTTTAATCACATCAGTAAATCCCCAGCATTATCTGCTGAAATAAGCAGTTGATAAAATTGCTAGAGTTATTGCAACGAGTGGAATGATCAAAAGAAGAAATGGTGAACATCCTTAAGATTCACTTGCTATTAAAACACGAGCTACAATACGAAAAAGTGTAGTAACCTTGAGGTGTACAGAAAATTTAATTGAGGAGGGAGGAAATATAATTCAAAATAAATTATCTGGTTTTTTTTAACCTGTACCTGTTTTAGAAAAATGAGAGTTTTTTTTTCTTTTTCTTTTTCTTTTTTTGGTCAGTAGCTGCCCTGGTATAGTCTAGCACTTATATATCAAATGCATTGTATTTAACATTTTAATTCTTAGCTTTTTGCAGAGGCGGGAAACAAAGGAGCAGGGATATTTAGGGAGATGGCCAGAAGATACTATTATCAATCAGCTAGTCTGAGCTCTTTCGTAAGGCAAATCACACAGTTTCAAGGCTCTGTCCAAGGTCATTGAGCAGGTGAAAAGCAATGACTTCCACATACTAGTCTGATGCTCAGATACTTGATCATATCTCAGATGCACCTCCCTTGGTAGAATCTGCTAAATAATTCATCTCCTTTTTTCAAGTAGGTTTTCATATAGTTTTAACCACTTATCTTTTTGTCACCTTGTATATGGTTTGCCCTTCATTCAAACCTCCCTTTAAAACTCCTTATCATAAGACTTAGATTGGAGAGAATTCTTTTTATTTCTAGAATCCTCTCCAAGGCACTAAAGAGTCTTGCATTTTTCCAAGTAGCACTGGATTGTGGATAAACAATTACCACTCACTCTACTGTGAACACAAACCAATTATAAGCGACTTGGCCCCTGGTAGACTAGCAGGACTCATGCTGTCCTCGGACAGAGAGAGGGGGGCACAGTCGTGTACACACATCAGACCTGGGGCACTAACCCTTCCCTTCCCTTCGCTCTCATGGGACAACCATAAAGAAGTCAAGAGAAACCTCAAGCCCTGTTACCCTACTTGGTAGGACGGTTAAATCACACTGTAGGAAAGTGATGACTTCTACTGACTCCTGCTTTTCTCCTGTCAAAGAAGATCACTCATCAGAGAATGATGGATTTCTTGGACTGTCAGGTAGGGGAAAACAGTTTTTCCTCCCCAACTCAATGATAAGAGATCATCTTGCTCTGAAGGGCTATCTTGCACTTCCACCAACACATTAGTGTTTTTCAGACTGGAAATAAGCTGTGCTTCTAAAACCCAGGCTTTATTTCGGAAACTTTGCCAGTGCAGATCTATCAATGACAGAACTAGTACCAGCAAAATCAAGCTATGACTAAAGGAGCTTAATTCATGTCCCTGTGAAACAGCTGAGAAGGAACTCAAGGTTCCTTACAAGAAAAAAAAAAAAAAAAAGGAAAGAGAGAAAGAAAAACACAGACTTTGAAACCACAAACTCATGTTTAGGTCCTCAGATTGAAAGTCATAGGTCCAAACGAATCCCATATGACCCATCAGGCGCTTGTACCTCACATCTGCAAGGATCCAACTCTCATTGCATCAGAGAGGGCAGATTCAGTCAGAGCCGTTCCTCCCTCAGCATTCGTGCTCCCATTTGCAAAACTAACCACCAAGGCGAGTCTGGGGATGGATCAGAAAGGGTTAATGGGGTTATGAAGGGTTTTGCTGGCCTATTTTCCAGGCAGGCACCCTTTAATCTCCTTTGGAAGCACCTTCACACAAAGGCTGGTACAGCAGCTCAGCTGGAGCCAGGATTTAACATGGAATAACTTGTCCTGAAGAGATTAAAAGTGGCAGTTGGGTACCAAACCTCCAGCCAAATGGGCAGGAATTTCTAACGAGGGAAAGAGAGGCAAGGAAGGCAGCAGGGTATTGGAGAAGGGAGCTGGCAGTATACAGTGTCACCTTCCTTCTCCTGGAAGGAGGTCCATTGCTGGGACGTTATGTTCACAGAAGGGAGAGAAGAGGAAGAGATAGAAGGAAGAAATCAGAAGAAAGACAATGAGAAGAAAAATAGAGAGCAAAGCAACCTGCATCCCTCCAAGTACAGCTCAAGCAGCTCAGCCGTTCAATCCCTCTTCCTCCTTACCTGAGGGTCTCTGAGGCGACTGAGGTCTGGATAAAGGTAAAAGAGGATTCCTTGGGATGCCCCCGGCAGGGAGACTCCCCTGATGAGCAGAACTATCAGCATGAGGTATGGGAATGTGGCCGTGAAATACACCACCTGGGAGAAGGAAAAAGAGAGCATGTGTGAGCAAACAGAGGGGCCAAAGGCCAGAGTGCCAGCAGGGAGCAGAGCACCATTCGCAGGAGGAAGTGAGAAGAGGGCCTAAAGGAGATGGAAGTCGGGCAGTGGCAGGGAACTGACAGGGCTGCCGTGTTCATCTTCCTTTAGTCTCTCGTAGGCAGAAACTCCCTTTTGCATGCACCCAGGAAAATGATAACACGTTCGGGACAGGAAAATTTTTTTTAGTCCTAGTAGAAATTTCAGACCACAAGCCAGGCTCAAGTCAGAGAATTGATCAGGGTAACATCTATTTGCACCAGCTAACAATCTGCCATCTGTATCCATCTGCAAGTCCTTACCCCAAGCAGAGGCCTAAATCACACATCTAACAAGTCTTCACTCTTGGAAAGAGTGAAGGAGCACACAAATAAGTGATAGACCCTGAAACATTACTGCTATCAAAGGACCACTAGAGACAATACTGATGTGCCCCCATTCAGGACTGACAACTGGCTTATGCCTACAACTCTGCACTTGAATGACTCACAGATACTGTCTGGCTGACCCATGCTTACCTGACTACCCTACAAAGGAGTTTAATGGAGAGTAGGGCAGCCCATCTCAGGCTTGCTACAAAGGACTCAGACTCAAACACAGCTTTTAACCTGCATCCTCTTGCTTTTTACTCCATTGGCCCCATGGATAACACAGACTTACTTCGGATATGTTTGAAATCCCTTGCTCTAGCAAAGTAGTTGCATTCCTTTGAGGAATGCTGTGGGCTGGTATCAGCTAATCCTTGCAAGGATTCCACGTCTGGTAAATATAACCTTCAATTTGGGGATTACTGGGGTTCTTTCAGGACTGTTCTGACTAATTGCCATACCCTTCCACAACAGCAGCACACTGTTGTTGATGTTTCCCGTAAAAAGAAAACAATACCCAAGGGCTGATGCAGTCTCCTCAGCAATTCACTAATCCTGAATTCACTGTCATTAATCCTTTCGTGTTGCTCCTGTACCTTCAAGACTTATTGACCACCTTGAAAACAGTTGTTCAGTTCGTTGGATCGTGCTAGGGCAAAGAAAAAAAAATGTCAATGTGCCTTCAGGTTTTTCCTGTGTCGATGTGCTTAGTGAGGATTTGCATCAGAACTCCTCAATGCTACCTCACAGCTCTTTTCTCGGCTTTAGAAGCTACACACCAAAGAGCTAAATCTCATCTCTGGAGCAACTACAATACCTAATAATGTGAAATGATCTATTTCTAATCTTTGTCTAATTATCCAGAATGACTCATTTCAGAATCCACAGCCCACAGCAGTGGTCACAGATTCTGTCACACCTACAGTACTTTCCTCATTAGAAAAGGTACTATCAAGAATGAGTGCATGATCTCTCTGGACAATATGGTCACCTCTCTGCCTCCAGAGAATTCTTTTGATTTAAATAGTGATTCAAAAGGAGGTTCATTGTGGATTGATCCTTGTCTGCTCTGCCTGAACAAAGCAACATCCAAAGCACCTCACGTTGGAACGGAATTCCTGACCCACAACCTCTCTGGGTAAGCTGTTCCAGTGCTCTGTTATTCTCACAGTAAAAAAGTTCTTCAAAGATTTCCTCACAGGCAGAACTGGGAGGAGTAGCTGATAGCCCAGAGGGCTGCGCTCCCATCCAGAGGGACCTGAACAGATTGGACAACTGGGCAGTGAAAAAACCTCATGCAATTCAACGAGGCCAAGTGCAAGGTGTTCTGCACCTGGGGAGGAATAACCCCAGACACCAGTACGGGCTGGGGACTGACCTTCTGGAGAGCAGCTCTGCAGAGAAAGACCTGGGTGTCATGGTGGACGACAAGTTGACCATGAGGCAGCAGTGTGCCCTTGTGGCCAAGAAGGCCAATGGAATCCTGGCCTGCATTAAGAAGAGCGTCTCCAGCAGGTCGAGGGAGGTGATCCTGCCCCTCTACTCAGCCCTGGTGAGGCCGCATCTGGAGTATTGTGTCCAGTTCTGGGCTCCACAGTACAAGAGGGATGTGGAGCTGCTGGAGAGAGTCCAGCACAGGGCCACAAGGATGATCAGGGGCCTGGAACATCAAGTACCTCAAGGGAGGCAGTGAGGAGGATGGTGCTGGCCTCTTTTCACTGGTGGCCACCGACAGAACTAGAGGTAATGGCCACAAACTGAACCACCAAAAGTTCCACATGAACTTAAGGAAAATTTCTTGACAGTGAGGGTGACAGAGCACTGGAACAGGCTGCCCAGAGAGGTTGTGGAGTCTCCTTCTCTGGAGATCTTCCAAACCCGCTTGGACGCAGTCCTGTGCCACGTGCTCTAGGTGACCCTGCGTGTGCAGGGTGGGGGACTGGATGACCTCTGGAGGTCCCTTCCAACCTTAAGCATTCTATGATTCTATGAGCTTCCTGTGCTTCAGTTTGTGGCCATTTCCTTGTCATTGCCATTGCCTCTTGTCCAGGTTCCATTGCCTGGTCACCTTTGAAAAGAGTCTGGCCCCATTCTCTTGATACCCTCCCTTACAGTATTTATACACATTGATAAGATCTCCTCTCAGTCTTCTCTTCTTTAAGCTAAATAGGTCCAGCTCTCTTGGCCTTTCTTCATATGAAAGATGTTCCAGTCAGTCCAGTCCAGTGGACACTGGACTACCGGAGGAGAATTTTCTCTAGTAGTTCCACGTCTCTCTTGCACTGGGGACCCAGAACTGGACACAGGACTCCAGATGTGGCCCAACCAGAGCTGAGTAGAGGGGAAGGATCACCTCCCTCGACCTCCACTCTTCCTAATGCACATCCAGATACCATTGGCCTTCTCAGCCACAAGGGCCCATTGCTGGCCCATTGTCAGTCTGTAGGCCACCAGGATGCTCAGGTCCTTCTCTGCACAGCTGCTCTCTAGTAGGTCAATCCCCAGCCTGTACTGGTGCATGAGGTTATTCCTCCCTAGAGGAATATGCTTTTTTGGTGATTCAATTTTATCATACAGGAGAATAGAAGTATATGCAAGATGTTCTATCTTTGAAAATGAAAGCACTATATTATCATCTATGTCTTCAGCGCCAAGTTCTTTATGCACTTCATGTGACCAGAGTTATGTATCACGGCTCTCTCAGGTAATACTACAGAAGCAGGTGAAAAATGCCTACTTGCTAACACTCATGATCACCTGAGATGTCTATAACAGAAGCTCCATCCCTGTGAACCAGTATCCTGGACACCAGAGGAACCCAAGGATGGTGTTCTTCCACGCTGGCAAACATCACCATTCACTTCTCTTCCAAAAGTTTCAAGAAGGCTCCAACTTACAGCTTTTCTGTGCTAGTTTTCACTAGTTTAACAATCATCTCTGTAGTTACGACACAAACAAATTCTTCTTTCAGAAAATTGCGGAATGTAAGTCTTACCTTTCTCAGTTCATGAAAGAATATAAGATAAAAAAACTTTAAAAAATCCTATTGCCTCGGAACCTAAGTGCATATTCTTTCAGCATGACAGGTTTCAATTTCTCAGCTGGATCTCTAAATAACAAGAGTCTTAGAAATTCACAACACAGACTAGTATTTCTGTGGCATACAATTTGGATTCAGATCTTGGTAATCTCATGTGTGCTTTGCACCTTGCAAGAACTAGTGTGCTAAGCTTTTCAGTCAACAGTCACTCACATCACTTCCTAAATTTGCAGAATGTTTTCTTGGGTTAAGAGTGCCAAACTTCTATCTAACAATATGAACTTCTGGATCCAGTGACATATTACTCAATGATTGGCTTAAACCCAATCTTTTTATTTTGGGGGCATTGTTAGCACTAACTACATCACTAGGAACCTTGCCGGGATCAGTATGATCATTCTGTCACATGCTGGTCAATAACATCCAGGGTTTTATTTGAAGCTGATCCACATGCCTCAGCAAAGTGATTCCATCTGTGACAACGTTCTGCATCTGTGTGTACTCCTTGGGGATGGACAGTCCCTGTGTCAGAGGATGCAAACTGCTGCTGCTGCTCTGAGTAGGGTGATTTCGATTTGTTCTTTTTGCCAATCCATATGTAAACACCCAGGATTGAGTTACCCCTTGGCAAATGAGTTGAAACCCCCAGAGCCGTCATTTTAGCTGGTATCCCTGGAGCCATCATTTTTGTCAAATACATAAAGGGATGATAAATTTATGGATTTCCCTCAAACACAGTTTCTTTACTGAAACAAGATCCCTCTTTTCATGGAAAAAAGATTTCCGCTTCACTAGTCATTTTTGTTAAAAGCACTTGCATTTGACATAGACTTTATATTTAAAATACACTGGGTTTGTTCTCTGCATTTCACACACTTTACTATGTCTTAGCCTCGTATTTGCTGCTATTATACTGCCTCTGTTTTCTTTTACTAGGCCACCACAGCAAGTAGTTGTTCTTTTCTTCTAATTTTACTCCATGGAAACCAGAAAACATCAACTCTGCAAGCTGCTTGATTTCCCCTTTGTGTTTCATAATCCTAGACCATTCTGGGAGCAGGAGAAACTGCTAACATCCATACCATCACTTGATAGATACAGATACAGCTAAAATTTACACCTCAACAAGCATGGTGTTTTGACCAAAGTGTGCTGAGAGAGCCACATTTCAATAACATTCTAAACCTTTTCATTTCCATCTGTTCTTGCTGACTCCAGACACAGCTGGTTGGGAATGGGTCAAAAGGTGGTAAAAGAAACTAAGTAATGTGTTCAGTGCAAATGATAGTGGTGCACTCCGTAACGGAGGAAGAAGACAGGATGGGACAGGACAGGATGGCAACAGACAGTCACACAGACCTCTCCCAAAAGCATTTACAGAAAAATCTCTGTGGTGACAAGTGTGGGACAAAAACAAAAACAAAAAGGAAAGGGAACAGGAAAGGGAAAAGAAAAGAGGAAACAGAAAAGAGGGAACAGAGAAGAAGAAAAGGAAAAGAGAAATGAAAAAAAAATCTTTATTATTGGGGAACATGAGGAGCTGTAAGAAGAGGCTTCACTGGGAGCCGGTCTCATTGGGACCAGCTGCAAGAAATAGGAAGATCTCCATCCTCACCTTGGAAGGCTGCAATCTGAAAAGCCTCTCACTTCTATCCCAACTCCTCCAACATTTCCTACCCAGAACCCAGAGCCTGGTGTCATTCCCTCTGACAGCTGAGTCCTGCAGGGTCCTGAGCTCTGCCAGCTCAGAAAGGCATTTCCAGGGTACCCTCAGGGTCCCTCTGAATATACAAAAGTTGAGTGGGTTGAGTGCTCCAGTTCTGATTGAAGGAAAATGCCTGAATTGAGCCAAGCACTCACCTTCCCTGTGGACTTGACCCCTTTCCAGATGCAGAAGTAGCAGATGATCCATGCGAGCAGCAGACACAGAGCCAGCTCCCAGCGCAGGCTGCCCAGGTGCTGGATGCCATCGGAAATCTTTAGCACTCTCCTCCTGCATTGGGAGGACACAAAATAGTACTTGAGTGACACTGGTGTTGGCCACTAGTGTCCTCAACCCTGCATTGACTCTCACCACATTTCCACAGTGCTTGACCATTTTGGAGAGAGGTAATATCCTAAAGACACAGGCAGCTCTGGGCTGCAAACCACAGAGCAGTAGTCCTCAGTTGCTCTTCTCTTAGACAAATGTACTACTAGCCTGGGGGATCGTGTATAGGACACCTGCTTCTACACTTGCTCCCGTGCAGGCCTGTTTGGCGGAGGTATTTCTTCTCTCACTCTTTGTCTGCGTTGCCCTGTTTGGGTTAAGAACTCTTCAAGAGCATGCAGCACCTTGTGCAAACAAGTAAACACAGGCTCTGTGTGAGCCTTCTCTCGCACACATAACGAAGTCCACCTACACCTTTCTTACATGCTTCAAACAAGTGGAGGATACATTTCATTTAGGAGACAGAAGAGATCAGGCTGACAGAAGAAGTCAGGCTCAGCAACCCCATTTTCCGTAGCCACCTTCTGTTGTCTTTAGGAGCGGATACGTATGTGACTTCAGGCCCCAGAACAGCTGATCCGCCCATACTGTGACAAAGGCCAGGATAAGCCCACAGTAATCAGCATGGCACTGACAGAAGAAACAGCTTTGGGGATCCTCTTTCAGACACTGTGGAGATAAGATCCCTAACTAGATGGAGCTTGATTCAGTCCAGTCTTCATGGTCTCACTCTGAGCTTTCAGCAGCTTTCTATGCTTCGGTTGTGTCAAATCTTCCTCACAACTTCGGGAAACATGGACTCTCCCCTCTTCTGTGTCTCCTGCCTCACATGGATAGACGTGGGTATGAAACACCATGGCGCAATCCCAAAACTCAAAGATAGGCCAAGAGGGAGATGGGCCAAGAGGGCCAGGTACTACTCTGCAGCCCCAGCAGCAAAGCACAGAGCATGATCACAAGCCAATCTTGCTGCACTCTACAGCAATTATTACAAATTAAAAGTAGCACTGCTGGAGATATACAGCCTCCTTTCCCACCTTGCAGCCTAGTGAGAGAATGAGAGTGAGAGAAATCAAGAGAATGGGAGTTTAGAGGAAATCACTCTGCCCTTGCAGATATCTTTTGTAGTATTGCAGTTTCCCTGGATCTATGGACATGGACCCTGAAACAAGTAGGAAGCAGGTGCTAACAGAGCATGACTAACCAAGCACTGGGCTGCAGCCAGAAGAGGCCTCACAAGAAAACCATCACCCTGCTGGCAGGTCAGCACCTCCCCAGGAAGCTGCTGCCTCCCTGTGCCGCTGCGCACAGAGGCCAGAAACAGATGTTGCATAGAAAGCTGTGGAAATTTCCAGTCCTATGTGCTGATTCCCCAATAATATTAGAGGGCCGTTCAAAGTGCTGAAACATCTACTTTTCTATCAGTCAGTCTTTGGAAGGTCAGCCTGAGAGAGCCCAGCATTTCCTCCCATGCGAGCAGCTTTCTGAGGGAGAACACAGGGTCAGGAACACGAGGAAGATAAAGAAAGCACAAAAAAAAAAAAAAACTTGAAAAAACTTGGGGGTGGAATGTAGAAGAGGAAAATCTATGCTATAAGCTTATTAGCAAGCAGCAACATATTTACCCAGAACCTTCTACTCTAATGATCCCTCTCTGTTCACACACAGACATTAAAAAAAAAAAAAACTGAAACAGGGATACATCAAAAGTACTAGGTGTTCTGACAGCACGCAGAGTGCTGTTGAGGACAGAAAGGGCAGGGCGCTCCATCAGCCTAAACGCACAAGGGAATTCATGGTGGCAGCAGGGAGATTTCTTGCACAGTCTGTCACTCCTCGGGACTCCGTACTTAACTGTGCCCATTCTCCTAGGGAGCACTTAGGGTCATCAGAGATCACAAGTCATTAGACCCATTCCTTCATGCCAGAAATAAAGTGACTTTGTACCTCAGTGTGACTAAGACACATGCACTATCACAAATGAGGGAACAAATTTCACTGAGGTAACCTGAGCCAGCACTGTCAGGATAGCTTGCATATTAATCACTAACATAAAAACATCACCTTCTTTTCTATTTTTAATGTAAAGACCATCCCACATACAAACATCACCATCCGCCAGGATATAACCTCCCGGGAACATGCTGGCATCACACACTAGCACAGATTCAAAAGCAAAGAGATCACCTACTGCATCATCAGCATTGGTCCCAGAACACAACATGTTTTTAAAGGTCCACACTCCAGCAACTGAACATGTTAAAACTTGTGAAAACTTGAGGACAAAAACCCATTGAAGAGCTGCTGCTTTGTGGATCACTGCAGATCTTGCCCCCCCTCCCAGCTGTAGTGTTGGCTGTGCCCTGAGCATATCTGCACTGGATGCAGCCACCAGGCAGATCAAGGTCCGGAACAAACATAACTGATAATCCAGCAGATATACAATCCACAGCCCAATCCAATCCATAAACCCTATACAATCCACAGTCCAATCCAATCCATAAACCTGACCCAAGGTTTCAGGAGGATTTAGAAGCAGCACATGCAGTCTAATCACATATGTTGCAAGAGGAAACAATTGTATAAGGAAGGTTATGGGTCACAATGGAGAAGATGTGAGGAGGCAGAAAGAGAAACAAATGGAGAAGGTTAAGTGCAGTGGCAGAAAAGGAAGACAGAAGTAACAGAAAGAAGTACAGAAAACAACACGAAGAACCAGAGAAGCCAGAGCAACAGTGAGGTTCGATCACAAATACAGGGTCACCTGGCCACCACTGTTGGTGGTGAGGCTGAGGAGTCTGAAATACAGCATAAGAGAAAGACAAAGTCATACTTCTCTCTCAGGCAGACCAGCCTGCCAGACAGCTCCAGACAAGCATCACCAGGCTCTGCAAGATTACCCTTGTCTGGTGATGCTGTCAGCACTCTGCACATCCGCCTTAATGCTGGCCTGCCCGGCTTGCCATGTTGTGGCTTATTCTAACAAGGACAAATTATTAGGAAGCGATGCTGTGAGATTCATTCATTGCCCAGGGAATGTATTTCTCACATGAGGAGGAGAAGATAGGCCTTTGGTTTACTTACTCCCAGAACTCAATGACAGGCGAAGTGGCATTTTCATTCGTCACGTTTAGAGTGGAGTTCACCTTCTGGAATTCCATGCAGGTCCCTGCAGAGGAGGCCCAAGAAGAGGGGGAAGTTAAATAGCAAAGAATGGAATACCAGAAGATCTGCAAAAATACTGCCTTTCCATCTTTAATGTCAATTCTCAGCAAGATTTTCTACAGTCACATGGATGTGTGAAAGGAGTGCCCTCCAAGGTGAGGCTGGCAAGACACTTAGGACAACTAAGCAGACTGTGTTTCATTTTCTTCTTCCAGTGGACATGGTGAGCCACCCTGATCAGGACTGCATGGTGCAGGAAGACTGGATTTTTCATCCTTGCCACCACTGCCAAAAAAGAAGATGGCCTCCATGTTTGGAGTTCAGAGCCAGAGAAGCCTGGAAAGTTGTCTAGCACATTACGTCGGGCACACAGAGCAAATAGGCATGCAGCAGCAACCTGACACACTGGGCGTTTTCTGGCAAAGGCCTGTGTGATCCAGCAAAACTGAGACTCAAAACAGAATTGCTGCTACTGCCGCTTTCTCTGAAAATAACCAGGGTTTGCTCCCCCCACCAACCATAGTCTGGCTCACGTTGCAGTAAGTTGCTTTCATGAGTTAGTTGGTATTTGCAAGCAGCAGGTTTTCTTTTGCAGGAGCTGGGGGATGAGGATTGTGAGGGGACTCCACACCTACCTGTGTTCCACTCATGGTCACAGCTGCCCCAGGGAAGGTCTATGGTGAACGAACTGAAGAGATAAAACAAGGCCCAAGCCAGGACAACAATGTAGTAGAAGTTCAGAAGTATGACAATGACCTGTGAGGCATAGCCAATTCCTGCAGAATTGAATGTGGACAAATACGTCAAGGGGGAGGAACAGGCCTCATCTTAAGGTTGGCACCTGCCCTCAGACTGGCCTGCAACACAAGTTTCTCAACCGTGCTCATGTGGTTCTTCCTTCACATTTCAATTCTTTACTCATTTTCCCCATGCTGATGGCTAAATGTGAGCAGAACTGTCCAACCTATCACCCTCCTTCCATTGCTACATAAACTCCACTGTCTTGCATCAGTGGAGGTCTGAGGTGGCTTTCTTGCAAAACTGACCTCTCCATAGGAAGATTGAAGATGCTTTGATACCCTAGCATACTCTTTCTTTCTCCTGCTGTTGGGTGACAAAGGAAGTCCAGGTAAACCCCTGACAGATTGGAGGCTGTGGTTGGGAGCCTACAGGCTGCTCTGTATTGCATCCCTCCTAGCCTGGGAGAAGAGATCACCATGTGGGGTGTTAAATGTACCAACCAGCTCCAAGCCTCAAACAGTCGGTAGGAAATGCTTGTCCACAGGAGCCAGCCCTAGCAAGGAGTTTAGTGTATTCCCCAGGTGACTCCATCTGAACTGATCAGCTCTTGGATGAGGAAGCTGCCAAGACAGCTGAACAGCCCTGAGAGATGAGCCCCAAGGGTCAGCCATTCCCCAGTAAACCCATCCTCTTGTTATCTTTATCGCAGCATTTTCTAGTAAAAGGATGGGAAGAAGAAAAAGTCTGGACAAAGGCGATATGGTTAAAAAGCAGGCTGGAATGGAGACAGAAATGTAAGACAACACTCCACCTGCTGACTAGCATCTCTTTTACCAAAATTCACTTTTTGTTTTGCTCACTCTTTTCACTTTTTCAGAACTTTTTAATATTAAAAATACACACTCTCTCTGGAAGGCGACAGAGGAGTATCTAAAAGTTTTGGCAAGTGGAGAGGAGACAACTGAGACTTTTCAGACCTGAGAAATCATAGAAAGTGTCTTGAGATTGGATGATTGTGCTCAGGTAGTACAAGGAGTAGATGTGGCAGTTCGTGATTTATTAAGACAGCTGACACTTTCCACCAGTAAGGTTTAAGCCCTCTGCAAACTCAGAAAAAAAAATGACATAGGATTGATTTTATAACATAGCAGTATATTTTAGGTTCCTCAAAACTTTCAGGAGCATTTTCATCATTTAGATCTTGGAAGACAATTTTATTGGGCAAAGATCATGACCAGCGTGCTGGGCATGATGTGGATGGAGGCCGGGATGCAATGTAACAAGGGCGTTGTTTGGTGGGAAAAGCGAACAATTTTCTCAGCATTATTTTGGGACTGGGATAGCCAGTGACCTTAGCTGGCTGACATACGCGAGGGTTGTCAGAGCATGTGGTAAGGCACATAAGGAACTGATCTCAAGGACACACAGCACCTCCTTTCCCCCATGTGTCACGGGGTTGGTATCATGGAAGCTTCCCTC